TAGAGAGAATAGTGCAACAATGAATGAGTGGAAGCCCAAAATCTCTGTAAATGTTTATGAAAATTAATAAAATATAATAAAAAAAAAGAAACACTTTGATTTTGCCTTTTGGCTCACAAAGTCTAAAATATTTATACTATCTGGTCTTTTACAGATAAAATTTAATGCTTTCTGAGTTCTGGAAGGAGCTGCACTGCTAACTCAACAGATGAGCAATCTTGCTGGAGGTTTGTCTCCACCATTGGCTTCTTGAGAGAAAGATGGGCTATCTTCTCCCTTGCGACTAAGAGCTTTGGAAACACGACAGCTATGAGTTAGTTTCACTTTGACAGTGAAAGAGAGAGCTTATAAAAAAAAAAATCTCTTGATTTGCTTAAACCAATATGGAAATAATTCATATATTTTTAAAGAAAAGGTAGTTTAATAATAAAATTCTATACCAAAAAAACCAAAATCAATAAACAAAGAGAAAAAGACAATAGAGTTGATTTCAATTTACAGGGTTTACAGTTGAAAGGCTTTTAAAATAAATATCCTGAAAACAGTTGACTAATAGAAATAAAATATTATTTCGCCAATCTTAATAACTTTGGGGAGCTAAGATATACGTTAAATATTTACTTTTTTCTAGTAGGTCTGACTTGCCGTGATCCTGCCTCCGGTTTCCAAGAGTCTAAGTCTTCACGGGAGGAGCCTGTCCATCTTTCTCCCGTGGAACAGTTAGTGGATTTGAACAGCTAACCTTTTGGTTAGTAGTGGAACATGTAAGGTCCTAAGCTAAAAGAGATCCTTATGACACAAATAATTACTTAGAAAAAGACAAAAATATTTTCATTCTTTTTGTGAGACTATTGGTGGGGAGTTTTTATTCAACTAAGCTACATACACAGTACATATGTGATTATATCAATTCTCACTACATCGTGATTATAAAATAAGCTAAGTGGTTAAAATTAACTAAAGTACAGAAAAAATTAAGAAAAAGCAGTTTGCCTTTTTCAAGATTTAACCTAGTATTTGGATAATGTTGTTGTTGTTCCATTTAGTTGACCTACAGTTGACCCTACAGAGGGTTTTCAGAGGCAATAAATCACATGGTAGGAGACTGTACAACTTTCTTCATTAGAGAAGCTGGTGGATTTGAACTGTGTGCTTTCAGATTGCAGAGCAGCTTCTCCCCTTGCCCCCGGCCCCCTGCCACCCTCACAGTGCAGCTTTTTATCACGAGGTCACCAGAACTCCCTGGCAGAGATGGCTAATAAAGATTTTCCATTTGGGGTAGCAAAATCTATTTTGGTGTTGCTACTCTTTTACTAAAATGATATAGTTTTTCTGGATGTCGTTTATTGCATAGTTCATTAATATGATTATAATCAAATTATAGATAAATCTGTTTTAAATTATATACTTGATGTAAGCAAAAGATAAAATCTGCTATAATGGACTTCTTAGGAAAATATGCTCATTGCATTTTATAGAGAAGTATCTTTAGAAAAGAAATACTGATAACGTACTTAGAATATTACTTTTCTTGTCTAATGACTTATGCTACTCTAACTCCTTTTTAAAAATGAAAGCATCATAAAGCCATTACTGGTATGAGAATCCACAGTGGTGGGAAAGGGTGGAAATAGAGAAGTGAGAATGGCAGGGTTGCACAATTCAATGGGTGAGTGGGAGTGAAGTAAACAGGAAGGATTTTTTTGTGAAAAACAATGTGTTCAAACTTTGTAAATCAATCAGAATTTAAAAAAAAAAAAGAAAGCATCATTGTTATGCACCATGATATTTTTTTTAAAGTCCACCATTACTCAACAATCATGTTAGAATAGAAGCTAAAAGGCGCAAGGATAAAGCATTCATTCCTCTTAATTATTTATACTATTCATTTTTATTATTCATTGCATAATCAGAATTTGACCAATAAGCCCAGAAATTCTTGGACACAGGTGGCATAGTAAGTATGCAACCTATGCCCAAGAAATTGAAGGCTTCATAACTGGAAAAAATGTAATTTTTAAATTTACATTTAAAAAATGCTTGGAAAAAATAGGTAAAATTTTATATTATGCTATATATTCTAATAACAAAAGGATCTGTAAAAGATTTACATACTTTCATTATGTCCTCTGGATCCATTTTTCATTTCTTCTGTAGATTCTTCCATATTACAACCACCTACAAAGTTTAGTATATATTCATTTTGTGTCTCACTTTCAGGAGACTTCAACCTTTCATAAGTGGTACCTTCTTCCCTGTGCCAGTTATGGGTATCAATCAATTCTTTCATATTAGTAGTGCTTTCTTTCAATGGAGTTATATCTCCCTCATGTTCTTTCTCTAGATACTCTTTCTGATGAGCAAGTTCTTTAATGATAGTAGAAGTAAAGTTATTTCCTTCTTTGGTTGGGTCTTCTCTTCTCTGAGGATCAGTTTTTCTATAAAATTGTGGTGTTTCTTCATCTGTAGATGTTTGCTTAGAAACTGTGAAGGCCAAAGCTGCATTATCTTCAAAATTTGTAGGCTTCTGAAGACAAGAACTAGTTTTTACTGTTATATTAGTAATGTCAGTTGATCTGAAGTCTTTACTCATACAAGAAAAATCAGACATTTTTAATATACTTGTTCTCTCATTCTTAGAAAGACTTCTTCTACAACTGAATTTAAGGTTTGATGGTAAATGAACTTCAGGGAGAAGAATCCTTGAATTCCTTTCCTTAAGATTCTTAGGTGAAAAATAATCATCATATGATGAAGACTCCTCACAATCAGCAGTCTCTAAAACAGATTCAGTTGCGCACTGCGGCATGTTTTCTGATGAAAACTGTTTCAATTTTGGTATTACAGATTTAGTGCTAACTCTTCTTTTCTTTAGCATTTCTTTAGAAGATGAGCATAAGTACTCTAATGTTCTTTTACGCTTTGCTGAAGAACTGTTGGGTCTTAAAGGTACTGACATATGACCTTCTACTGTAGGAGAAAAATTGTAGTTCGCATCAAAGATCTTCTTAGATAATCCTTCAGATTGTCTGTTTTCAGGGGTAACTATTTTACCTACATTTTCTCTTTGCCAATTTATTTCGTTGTGTGAAAGATTACTCACAGGTCTTTGAGGTGTTAATTTGTTGGGCGAGCTGCAAGATGATGCTGAATGAATACTACTTGTTTTCAAAACAGGTAAGGATATACAGACATCACTTTGAATTTCTTCATTAAGTCCTCCCAAGTTCATTTTCTGATTTTGACATTTTGAGTTTCCACAACTACCATCAAAGGATGAACCAAAATCCACAGCAAAGGAATCATCTGGAAAATATTAAGAGAAAATAAAACATATTCAGTAATTATAAAGATAATGCTCAGTTGTTATAGTAATAACCTTTAAATATAGCAAGTATTTAAAAATCATTGACTATATTATACTTTTCCTGATTGTCACATAAGGATACAAGAAAAAGATGCTCAGCTAGAGAATATGGGTTTCAATTTTGAGGGGATGGAGTGGGATAGTGATAGAGCCCGGAACAGGAAGTAGGGTTTAATGATCTTCAAAAATAATTTTTCAGTGCAACGAGGAATGAATGGAAATCCAAAGCCTCTGTAACCTTTTACTGAAATTAATAACAAATTTAAATTGTAAAAAAAAGAATTAAGTTAGAGTAAGGATGGCAATGGATTTAAAATTGCTCATGCTAATAACAATAAAGCATGGCATGAAGGAGGAATAGTGGAAATGTATCCACATTTACAACATTCCTCTTACCAAAACCATTTATGGAAAATAGGAACTAAATTGGAACATGTATCTCTGGATTAGAAATGATGATATTGTTAATATTTCTAGCCTTAAGCTTAAAAGATTACAATGTTCAAAATTATTTGTTGTACATTTGTTTAAATTTTTCCCTCTTTTA